GAATCAGAGCTTTCCTTCTAGACTTGTTAAGGTTTCCAGAGGGAATAAACAACGCCTGTGTGACCTGCTGATGACTGCTTCTCAAAAGTCAACAAATATTATTCTCATTCAAAACAACAGCATAAAAGCAGTTTCACTGAATCACAAATGGATTTCAAAGGTTCTATGAATAAATAACATAACACGTAGTTGTCACTCAATCTCAGGCCTTTCTTCCAAAACTTGCATACAGCTCTTTAATTGAGCCCAGTTTATTTTATTAAATACCATATTATGATTTTCCCCATTCAGATTCCAACTAGGCTTCTTGTTGAGGACATGGAAGGAAAACCTAATTGTTGCTGCTTCAGTGCATCTAAATTTATTTCATTACCAAAGTCAACAGAGTAGGGCTAGACAGTGCCGCAGAAAGGCAGCCAGATTCGGAATGTAAGCTGCTTTCCTGTCCTCTCCCCCTCCCACCTCACCCCTCCAAGTCCCAGGGTTGGAAATCATCCTAATGTTTTTCATCCTAACATTTTTTTAGCCAGGATGTACTAAAATTAGATGGGAACAAAGGACTGACATTTTCGTATCAGAGGAGGGGTTAGGAGGAAAATGTGAACTGGCAGCATATACTCCCTTCTACATTTAGCCTTCTCCTCCTGACTAGTCCCTCAGCTTTGAAGCGGTAGGCAAGGCGAGAACAGGGGAACTGCGACCATCCCAGCGGTGCTTCTGTTCGCTCTAAGCACGGATAATAATAAACTGCTTCACTGCAAGTATGCTAATCAGGATTCATAAGTAGAGTTCACGGTCCCCTTATTCAACCAGAGTATTTTCATAGTTCTTTCTAAGCTCCTCAGATAATATCCAGGATACACTAACTGATGGCTCCTGTGTACATTTGTAGGTATTTGGGAAAACAAATGTGTTGGATTCGCTATGCTTACAAAGCTTTTGGCTGGCATGCACAATGAACATCACCAACATGGTTATTTCTGATGCAGTAACAACAATACATATTTAGAAATATAACAGGATTTATCATTTCTTCAGGATGGGCCACGTAAGAAACGAAAAAAGTAGATTTTGGATTTTTTACATCTTCCTCTAATAAGCTAGGCAAATAATTTGCAAATATTTTAAAGCAAAATATGGTGGTTGTGTTTCTTACGATGGTATCGGCATGACAAAAGTACATTATGCCAGCTGCCACATCCCAGGTTTTGAAGTTCTTCTCCATAAAAGCAGGATATTGATACATTCATGTCTTGGGAGTTATTCCTATCTTTTTAATTTGGTTTCCCTGGGCATAAACTACAGGTCCACACAGTGACAGCTCCAAATTCAGTCAAAGAAGCCCTTTTAATGATTAGTCTAACACACTGTGTTGTAAAGGTTTTTAAAACTCAGTAAGTACCGACTCAAGCTCTCTTTTTTTCTGGTTACTGGAGTCCATCTTGACATCTAAGCTGGAAATGAATGATCTTTCAACAACACTCCAGGGATTTTGCTAAGGTCATATTCAATCATTCATTAGGCTTCTTACCCTTGCTTTTCAGAGTTCCATTGTAGAGCAGATTTTATTCAGCATTTATGTAGCCTGTGGGCTTTGGTATTTGTCTGCTTAATGTTGAGTTTCATTTCTATGCCCCTAACATAGGAATCCATCAATTGACCAAAGAATTTCAAACTATTCTTTTACTTTTCTAACAAATTGCATGGTGTGTATGAAGAATAAATTAGCATTAATTTTCTTGAATTAGCTGTTAATAAAACATGCTCATGTGCTCCCCCTTCTTCTAAGGACACCTCTGTTTCCTGCCTAACCAAGAGGAATGACCAGAGTTGCCTAATTTTTCCCCACTATGCAGTGGTCCTTCAACCTGCCATGTTCCTCGTCTCCCACTGTCGAGCTCTAGGTAACAGGCAGCCTCCTTCCAGTGAAGTGCACTGGAAGACAGGATGCCTTTCAGAGCCCGTCAGCATCCCCCACACACAATTAGCTAAAGAGCTTATCCTGTGGAACACAAGACACTTGGTCTCCTGCTCTCAAGGCAAGAGGCTGTCTCTGGCTCACAGTGCCAAACACAGGAAATCAAACCCAGGCCTCCCCACAGCAGCAGAATGCTGGCTTGGAGAGCAAGTGCGTTTTCCCATTTGTGTATTTTTTCACTGTAGGCTACCAGACACGCGCGCGCACACACACATATAAATATATAAAGTAAAATTATTTAAGAGACTATAAATCAAAGTCCATGAACATAAGCAGGGATACTCTATTTCTTTGCATATCAATTTAAGGAAAATTGTTTCAAAGCCATGTAAAACTTGATTAAAAATATAGGTTCCTTAAAAACGAAGGTTTCTATTATGCGCTGGACGAATGTGAATTAAGGTTAACACATAGTACTGCACTACGGTATCACACAGAAATTTAAAAATAAATAAGTGAATTGAAACACATTATTCATACAAAGACTGAAAAAGAGTCTTTTGTATATATTTACCTCCCTTCTTTCCCCCAAATAAATAGAAAATTGCATGCTCATCACAGATGAAGAAAAAAGGCAAATTCACTGCTATTACAATGGGGGAAAAAAATCATTCAAGGACAGTTTGTGCTTATTTTTAAATGGTTTTAGTCAAGCTGCCAAGAGTAGTGTCGGGTTTGCTTCTTATGTGCATGAATGCCAGTCCCAAAAAGCAACTCTAACTTGTGCACCTGGCTTAAAACAAAATGTTCTGAAAACTTTCTATTTGTTAATTGGTGTAACCCGCCCATTCAGGCCTCAAATCCCTTTGGACTTGCATACGCACTTCCTACACACAGAAGTGGCCTGTTATGCAGTAATAACATCATAATGAAAAGCAACAATTCTGTGCCGGCTCCACAGAGAAATCTCGTTTGCATTTCAAACAAGTTTCCTCAAAATAAGAGTGTCTTTTGATGAAATAAAATTACAATTCCAACTTCTTATCCAGAGAGAACAGCATTCACTAAATAACTACTGCTCTCTTTTGTAACTGCATACTCTTTCAGTTACCCACATATTCATATGATTTAACAAAACTAAGTTTAACAATAATGTATTTATGACTTGCTTTAGTAACTTGGGGATATTTACTGACCTGGTTTTTAAAGCACAGTATTATTTGAAAATACTAATTTATTGTTAGCAGTTTGGGACCTCCCATTTGTTCGGAGTCCAGCCTCTGAGAGGCTGGCTTCCAGCAGGATTGAACTGATAAGGAGGTGACAACCCCCTTCCCTAACCTATCAACAGCTCCATGATTCCTAAAAAAAAACCCTTCATCTTTGCAAATGGATCAAACACACCCCCCACGATAGGGACTCAAGGAGCTTTTCAACAAAGACCCATTCCCATCTTTTATGGAATCAAACCCAGTGTCTGGTCTGGTTTCCCAGGAAGCCCATTCTGTTAGATTGGTGCTTTCAAACAGCAAATACTTAACTTGAAATTCGAAAAAAGTGCTTACATACTATTATCATATTTGAATTCAAGGAATATTAATGTGAAAAAACAACAAAGACCAGATCTCAACAAATTATAAAACTATTCATGTTTCTATGGTGTAAGATCCCATGTCTAGTTTGTAAAATCAACACAGTGTTTCTAAACGTTTAATTACATATATTTTAATTTCTCACTTTTTACATGTTAAAATCTAATCTTTTCCAAAAAAGTAATTTGTGTGGAAAGGTTATGTAAATGTCTTCCGTTATCTTGTGCAGGCAGTAATCTTAATGGTTGATTAATGTTGATCTAAATCAAATCACCCTCCCTACCCCCACTCCAGGACAAAAATGAAAAAAAAGGATGTAATGCTACACTAACTCATTACTGGAGTAACATTTGCCAAACAAACAAAAATTCTGCTCATTCTGTAACCCAACAGGCCTAAAAGTTAAAACTCGTAAAAAATATATCACTTTTTAAAAAACTCATACTGTGACTCCAATATTAAAATATTAGCCCCAAAACAAATCAACCTTAAATATGAATATACCTTATCTTTTCAAAAACGTTAATAAACTATTTCTCTTACTAATTAGCACCTACCTAGAACATCTTTGACCCCATATCCCTCAGGGCTCATATGTGTGTGTGCGCGCGTGTGTGTGTGTGTGTGTGTGTGTGTGTGTGTGTGTGTATATATCTATAGATATATATATAGATATAGATATAGATATATAAAAAACTTACACCACCCTTTCACAGAAGAATGACATAATTCAGCTCTTGATTAGGCGAGTCTGAAGACAAGTAGGGAGATGGTGAAAAGTAATGAAGGATGACTCACTATTCTCCTAGTCCACAGATCAACATTGTCACCAGGAGCTGCAGAGCTCCTAAAAATAACTGCCCAACTTCTCTAACAGTATTTTCTAAGTACCAGTCGTGGTTCCCCAATTGAACTATAAATGCCATAAAAGGCAGAGATTTACATCTGGGAGGCAGAATGTGCTAGAGAAAGAGAACGGGTTTTAGAGTCAGATCCAGAGAAGAATCCTGGCTCCATCCTGTCCTAGTGTTTGTATGTAGAAACAGGAATAAGTAACATATGCCTGGAGAAGATATTGGGAAGCTTCAATAAGATAATAAAGCTTAACATAGTGCTAGCATATTAACAATATCTCTTAGGTGTCTTTCCTTCAACTTTCTATGTATCCCTCACAGTGTGTAAAATACCATCAGCCACAAAATACAAGCTCAATTAATGTTTCCTAGTCAACGGATGCATTTATCTGATTTTGTTTAATTATATATATGAAGGTTAGAGGATTTTCTCAGATATTAAATATTTTTTTCAAATAACCACCATTCAACCCCAAATAGCATGCTTATTATGTTTCATAAATACTCTAATAAAACACTAAGAAAGTTCAAGTTGTTTTGCTTATTCTGGTCCTGGAATAGATTGGTCAAATCTTAATAAATAAAGAGCTATGCTCAATTCAATTTTACCAACACACAAAAATCAAGACTACATGCTGTCTGTAGATTCATTTACTGCTTTAAAGTTTTTAACTGTTCAGCAGTTACAGGAAATTTTTTAATCAAAAAGAAAAATATTTACATTTCAAATACAAAAGAAAATTTGAAATTATTCTTGGTTGCTCTCTAAAGCTCAGCCACTTACAAGCTCAGGACTTTTTCACCAACCCTTTATAGCTATTCAACATGTGCATCCTGTGTACTTACTAAGCATTTATTTGCACTTGCATTTTCTGTGTCAGGTTTACTTTGATGTAGAGCTTCTTTTAAAAAGCTAACCGAAGTTGTCCAATGAAAAGTCTCACATTTTTTGGAAAACCAATGCTGCTACACTGTTTCCGGATCTGCCTCCAAAGCTGAACTTGGGTGTTGGCAATTCTTCGAAAAGTTCAAATCCTGTCAGACAAAATTAAATACTCTTATTAGGGATTAAATCCCACAGTTAAGAGAACTTTGTATTAACAGTATACTTTCAAACCCTTTATAAAACTCTAAACTGATTCCAAACTCCAAATGGTGACTGGATTTCATTTTATGATTTGTCAATTCTACCGTATATAATGTGTGTGTAAACACAAAAACTTGGAATTGAACAAGGAACAGACAAGACCAAAAACAAATTGCAGAAAGGAGGCTTTTTCATCCATCCATTTCCTCCTGTTCATCATCCTTCAACTCTGCATCTTCTTAGCCTACCTCCCCATCTCCTTTGTAGGAAGCAGCTACCATGTGTTGAGTCCTTACCACATATCAGACACTGTTCTGAGTACTTTTTTTTTTAAGCTGAGCCATCCTGCCACCTGTTGGCAGCTCAGCTCGGGCTGGGAATGGAACCAATGTTGCTCAGAGCTCAAACTCTTGAGCGAGCTCTTAACCAATTGAGTCACTTGGCCGGCCCCTGAGTACTTTATATGTAGTAATGCAATTGACCCACATCCCACATATAAAAGCACTTCCTACAGAAAGGGTAAATACCGTGGAAATAAAAATGAATCTGTAAGATGAAAAAGTTCTGCAGATGGATGGTGGTGCTAGTTGTGCAACAACGTCAATGTACTTAATACCACAGAACTGTACACTTAAAAATGTTAAGTGGCAAATTTTATCTATATTTTACCACGATAAAAGAGTCTGTAACCAAAGATCAAGACTCAAACTGAACTGATGAAGACTCTGGGAAGACAAGGAACTACTAACTTTCAAAGTAGCACAGTGTGATTAAAAAAAAAAAGAATAACTTGGATTCAAAAGTCCTGGGTTCAAGTCCCAGCTCTACTGCTTACTAGGTGAAAGACATGCTGTTCAAACTACCTTCAGCAGGATCCTCAATTTCTATGCAAGGAGGTTACAGATACCAACGCCCTAATCTAACTCACAGTGATTTTGCAAAGATCAAAATAAGATAATGTGGCATTTTCCTAAACTATATAATAAAGTGGAAACTTAACATTTTATTATTTTGTTTTAAAAAAATAAGACAAGGCTGTTATTAACCATGTTTCCCTCAGGGATGGACTAGTAGCTTGGGGAATTTTTTTCCTTTGAGGCGGGGAGGGTTATATGAATTTTCTGCTTCCAAGCCCTGAGCTCAAGCTCAAATAACTCTTATAAACAGAAAAAATGTTAAAAGAGATGTATACTATTGTATCAACTGGTCTTTTTATACTATGTTTCATTATACATTCTAATTCATATTCTTAATCAAACTTCACCAAATCTTAACAAATAACTAAATATCAAAATCTTTATTAAAAAACTGATCATAGAAAATTTTTTCAAAGAAAGACAGGCCTTTTAATAACATGATCTATTTCAATGCTGGAAAGTGGAGCCACTATGGTGGGTTCCTGCGTACACACCCATATTTGTTTCTGAAATTTTACTTATGCTTAAAACATTTCATAGCAAACATTTTCAAGAAAAAATGGAGCTGTCTGTGAATTTTCCAGGACTAATCTTTTTAACTCCCTGGACTAACTCTATAGAATTGAAGTTATTATATTTCAATAGCTAATACACCAAAATATTAAAAGTGGATGTATTCCAGAGATAGATAACGAATGATTTTAATTATTTTAATATATATGCTTACATGTTGGGGTTATTTTTCCACGTTTTTCATAATGAATCTGGATTACTTTTGTGGTATGATAGGATTTGGGATTTTCATTCAGGACTTTTAAGAAAGTCAAGTTCCGGGCCGGCTGAGTGTTCCGGGCCGGCTGAGTGGCATGTTGGTTAAGAGCTGGCTTGGGATGCCAGAGGGCCCCGGTTCGGATCCCACACATGAGGGCCCTTAACACTACCCTCTACAGCTAAGATGCTGAACAACAAACAGCTCATTCTGGAGCTGGGCTGCTGTGAGGCTACCGTGTGTGTAGCCAGCAGCCGCAGTGAGCGGCTGTCCAGAAGCCGGCGACTGATCTGCCTCGCCCGGGAAGAGCGCAATGATGGTGCCAACTTGGGCCAGTGAAGCAACATCCTCCACAACTAGACTGAAGAACAAAAGGACAGCAACTTGTCTGTTCCCCTTCCCCCAATTCCCCAGCGCTGTTCCCATCCCCCAATTCCCCAATAAAAATCTTTTAAAAAAAAGAAAGTCAAGTTCCTTGGACATCAAATTAGAACATCCTAATATCTGGCAAATGTTTCAACTGATCCTCACCCAAACAAACTACAACATAAAATGTTTACATAAAGAGGGTTAACAAAGGAAAAATGCAAGACTCATTTCAATCGTTTTATGAACATTTATGTTTCAAATAAGAAGCAAAGAACCTTAAAAGATTGGTGAAGCAAGCTTTCTTCTATGCAAAAGGGACCATGGAAGCCAATTCTGAGAAGCTAATGACAAGACCCTCAGCAGTGACGCATGGCAGTGTATCCTGTTAGTGTCCTGGATCTAACTCTAAGGGAGGCATGCCTACAACTAAAAGAAAGTCTTTTATTGTATATGTAATGATTTCTTTCACATTTCCTGTTGCAACATTTTGCTTATTTAAATTCTGTACCAAGCTCTAAAACTGAACATGAGTTAAAGAATTTACTCAGCAGTCCTCGGACACAGACCCAGTTTTAAGCTCTCTTTACCAGGCTAAAGTCTGTTCCTCATTATCAAAGACAGACAAATATGTTTTTGTCTGGTGGTTCCAGGGGTAAAAGAGAACACCTGTATTTAAAAACCAGGAAAGGAACTTGTTCTACACAGTGTAACTCAGAGCATTTATTAAAACTGTCAAGCTTCAGGAAGAGGGAAAGACTATTGATACGGGGCCTCAACAGTTCTAAAGGAAACAAATTTAACATGGAAGATAATAAAATTAATGGCATGAAATAAAAGACAATAAATCACGTATAATTCTTGTTTTCCAGAGGCAATAGTAATGAAGCCACAGTCTGACATTTCAAGCCTCAAACACTTCGGGCTGTACATTCTATAGCCTGCCAAAGCCGCTGCATGCACACAAAAGGACGTGTGTTAAGCGTTCTCCCTCCTACCGCCTAGTCCCTTATTACCAACAAGAAAACGAACGCTAAGGTAAAATGCATGTAACATGGTTATAAATCTATTTCTCAATAGCTTGTGACAACTAAGGTTCAAAATTTAACCACAAATTTAGTACCATAATATTTATTAATACTCCCTAAAACTTCCTCCCCTTCCTTTAAAAAACTTAATCCTAATCTGAAAAGGATTCTAAGGAAAAAACAAGCTAATATCTAGTTATAAATTCTGAAGATACTTTCCCAGACATGCCTGTGTATTGCATGAATATACTGGCAGGTAAAATATTCCTTAAAACATGCTAGAACAGTATGCCAAAGAACTCAAAATATTTGCATACAGGTTATCGATTCTCAATTCTCACAAAATCCCCTTCCCTTAGTAGATACCGCTCCTATTATACTTTGTTCATGGGGCAAAAAAAGGATCCTGTCTTGGCATTAAAAATCTTTAAAAAGATAGAGAGTTCCTCAAGAATTAATAAACAGCATTCCTACTATCAACTCCCTACATTTTATTTCTGTGCAACGTTAAAAATATTTGTTCCATATACATACTGAAAAGAAGAAGACAAATCCTAAATATCTAAATGACCATTAGCAAGACTATATATAAACTATTTATAAATTAAAACCCTCATCACTATGACTTTAAAAAATACTGCTTTCATTTGCATTATTATTGATTACTATTCTCACTGACTACCAGTGTATCAGTGCACTAAAGTCAGAAGCACAATATATGTGCTTTATTTGTTTGATTTTCTAAGTAATAGATTATATAGCTTAAATAAAGAACTTAATTTTTATAGGCTCATAAATTTAGTACTTAACTGCCAGGATTTCTTGGAAATTTTAAAAAGGACTCTGGATCGCCACCAATATTATTTCTTTGTGTTTTGCATGTACAGTGAAAAGTATTACCGAGGTTATTAACAGAGATGAAAAGCAGGCAATTTCCACAAACAGGAAAGTAAAACACTGTAACACCAAGAAGAAAAAAACCTATTTAAGTGCATTAAACCTGAGAAAAGCGCACATTTAAACAACATATAGCCAATTACCTTCACTGAATTCATTTAGCAACTCTTCCTTGGTCCAATTACATGAGGTTATTAGAAAAAAGCCTTTCACTTTCAACACCCCGGAGAGAGATTTCACATACTGTTTCCTCTTCTCAATTGCATTGTCAGGATTAAGGCTTATGGCATCAAATGTCCCTTTGTCAATACAAACATGAAATCCAGACAGCTTTGTGGAGAGATTCAAAAAGTCTTCTACCTGTATTAAAAATCAATGCCTATGTGAGAACAATTAACACACAATCTTTACTGAATTTAAGTGACAATCTGTAAAAAGTTATAGATAAAAGGGCCTGTTCATTGTGAAGGCATTTTACATATAATAAACATATTTTCAACTTTATAGCTAACTTTTATGTGCTTCATTCCAAGATCATTAAAGCTAAGATTAGTAAGAGAGGCTAACAGTGTTTCCTGGACATTCCAAATCTCTACAAATTTGGAAACAAATCAAAGCCAGGTGTACTGCCTAAAACCAGCACAGAATAGAGCTCACAGGCCTGGTTTATGACACAATTATTTCTGTGGAAAAGTGGAGTATTGACATATTCTTAAAAATGGCAAAAATTATCTGGAACTAAAACAGGTCACTGGAAATAAGATGATTTTTAGCTGATATTACTAAGTTGTGTGACCTCAGGTAAACAGCTAAATAAAAGTTCTTTTGTCTTGACTCAGCAGCTTACAAAGCAACTAATGGGTATAATGAATGGCATAAAGCTTAAGAAATTAAATGACTGTTCAAATTCTAATTACTTAACTTGATAAATATCCTTCATTTTAGAATTTGAGAGTCACACATCAGCATCTCCTGCATTTTCAATAACCTACTGATATGTTTTAAGCATTTGAAATAGTGGGCTGCCTCAATTTCATAAAAGATTCAAAATAATTTGCCAATAAACTTAATTCTGAAAAGCTACTTTGAAACAGTAATTAAACAATTAGCTGATGATTATTCATACGAACTTAATAAAGCAATCATAAATAGTGCATTATCTAAAACTCCCCTACTGTTTGACTTAAAAATGTGGATCTTATGTTTATATATATTGAAATACAGGCTTTCCCCCTTGCTCATACCCACGTGTTCGTTATGCCTGAAGGAAAACAATGACCATCACTCTAAAGAGCTGTTTGGAGACGTTCCCATCCTAAATGCCTGTATGAGAGTACACATTTATTCAACAAATATTTCGTAGGCACCTATTATATGCAGGGACTTTTTAGGCCCTGAGAATATAACAGCGAACAAAAGAGGGAAGGACCCTGTATAAGAGTGTGTCTAAAGGGAGAAGCAAACAATAAATAAGCTAAACAATTTCAGATAAGGTGCTAAGAAAACCAAACCAGAATAATGAAGAAGTGAGTGACTAGAAGGAGAAATGTTTTGGAAAAGGTGATTAGGAAAGGCCTCTTTAAGAAGGTAACATTTGAACAGAGATCCGAACGATGAGAATGAGCCAAAGGAGCTCAGATCGGGGGCAGGGCTACTGCAGTCGAGAGCAGCAGGTACGAAGACTGCAGGACAGTCCTGACATGTTTCAGAAGCAGAGAGGAAGCCAGTGTGACCGCAGTATTGGTGATAAAGAGGGAAAGAGGTAAGAAATGAGGGGCCCTGCAAGGCTGGGTGAGGTTCAGGCTCCATTCTGAATGCAACGGGGAAGCCCTTGGAAGCTGGTGAGCCAAGAAGTTCCATGAGCTGGGTGACAGTTTAGATCACGCTGGCTGCCCTGTGGTAATGGACAGCAGGGTGGCAAGGGCGGAAATGTGGAGGCCGAGTAAGAGGCTACTGCAGTCATCCAGGCAAGAAATGATGGTGGCTTGGACTTGGGAGGTAGCAGTGAAAAATATCAAGGAACAATCACATTTCTGATATACTTCAGAGATAAAGCCAACAGAATTGGATCTAGGGCTTAAAGGAAAGAGAGGAATCAAGGGTGACTCCTTGGGTTTTGAGTTAGTGCAACCGGCAAATGAATGGTAGTATCACTAACGGAGATGGAAAGGGAGGTTGGAGAAGTGCCGGTTTAAGGAGGAAACCAAGAGCTTTATTTTGCACTAATTGAGAGACTATTAACTATCCAAGTGGAACTCTAGGATACAGTTTTTATATAATTCTAGAGCTCAGAGGAGATGCTTAAGCTAGAAATATAAATGCAAGAGACAGCATCTCCTTACAGACCACAAAAGTAAATAATCTTTGGTAGATTATACCACTTTAAGCATTCATAATTTCTTTATCTAATTAAGCCCAAGTTAGGTATTATTTGTGTGTGTTTGCAAACATAAGAGGGGAAGAGGAAGGGAATGAACACACTCACACATGAGAAAAAAGAGAAAATCACTTCCCCAAGCTGACTAGACAAAAAACTTCAATAGTTACTTAAAAATGTTTCCTTTTGGATTATTTATGATTGATCCTTAAATATGAGTTCAAATGATATCAGCAAATTAATATACTTTAGAAATATTTAAATTTGGTAACATTTATTAGAAATAAAAATGTTACAGTAATATAAATAATAGTTACCTTCAACTTAATGTTAGATAAACCTTCTTTCTCTATAATCCTTCCAGAAAGCTGTATTGCAGAAGGAGAGTAATCAATTCCAGTAATATTAGAAAAACCACATTTTGCCTAAGAGAAATAATTTTATACTTTAGTTTTTAAAGTTTTAATATACTGTTTTGTCTATGAAATAAAATATTGTTAGGACTAGGACTGTTTATTTATTTTTTGAACAGATCAAATAATCTATACCATCCAATAATCTACAATGTTTAACTTTTATTGTAGAATCAAAATAGAAACTACAAGTTTAAATTTATATAATGTGACAATTTATTTGCTTTTATATTTTATTTCTTTCTCAGAAGGAAATTCATTTTCTCAAAGATAATGAGAATACTTCCATGCACGTTTCTACCTTCAAGCAGAAAAATGTAGTATAACTTCTGATGTCGATATGCTCGAATTTACACGTAAATGTCATAAATTTTACTTAACACAATTAAGTTACATGAATAAATTAAATGCACATGTAATAAGTTCTTGATTTAAAATTTTTTCCCTCAGTGTAATTATGAATTATGCAACTCCAACAGCCACATGATTATTAACCACCTTATATTTGAATAGTATTTTTTGTTTTTGAAGTATTCCATACATTCCAACAGATCTTTTAAAAACACTCGTGAGGTAGGTTGGGCAGGTATTAATGTCCCCGAAGAGTTAAAGAAAGCTCATTGGATTTAAGAATTTTGAGACTAAAGCTACAGCTCTTCACTAGCCATCTGACCCCATGTAAGGGTGTACAGTGCCTGTGGCAACAGCGTGAGGGCTTCTGGTCTTCACCCCACCCGCCTAATGAGGCTGAACAGTCTCAGGCCAAACAGGCTAAAAGTAATTTCAAAGGAAGACTGAAGAAGAAAGGAAGTTGCAAAGTACAGCGTAGCCCGAAATTCTCTTCCTGCCCTTCACGATTTACTAAATGATTACTTCCTTCAAAACTTAACCTACTCGGGCCGGTGGAGTGGCTCAGCTGGTTAAGAGCTCACTTGGGAGCACCAGCTCTGAGCAGCAGGACCCCGGTTCGGATCCCACATTGAGGGCCAGTGGCGCTCGCCCTCTACAGCTAAGATGATGAACAACAGCTCGACCTGGAGCAGGGCTGCTGAGTCGCTGGCAACAGCATAGGCTGCAGCGGGGCTGCAGTGGGCTGCCGTGAGCTACGTGAGCGGCTGGCACCCAACATGAGCGGCCAGCAGCCGGTGTGAGCTACCAGGAGCCACTGTGAGCAGCCCACCAATGTCCGGCGACCGATTGCCTCACCCGGGAAGAGCACAATGATCATACCAACGTGGGCCAGTGAAGCGACGTCCTCCACAACTAGACTGAAGAACAAAACAGCAATTTGTCTGCCTGTCTGTTCCCCTTCCTCGATTCCCCAACGCTGTTCCCCTCCCCCCAATTCCCCAATAAAATCTTTAAAAAAAAAACAAAAAACCTTAACCTACTCTGCCACCATCAAGAGTCACCCAGATTTTCAACCCTTAGTGACGAATTCCTGATCTAAACTCAAGTAACACACCAATTATTTCCACAGAGCACTTCACTGCCTCTGATTATTTTTAGTCTTCAGGTCTGATACCCTTTCTCTGACGCCAGCCTCCTGCTGTCAGCGTCTCTGTCCGCTCTGAGGCCGTCACTGTGTCACTATGTTCCTCAGTGCCTTCTCCAGCAGGCAGAGAACACGAGGTGATTCTATTAACTGACTCTTACAATTCTCTCTTCTCCTAGGCCTACTTATTCTTCCAGGAGAACTTATAAAAATTATATATAGGTGTTTTAGGTTTCTAGAACAATCATCCAAAGCCTCAAAATATCTCCAACCATTTTCACGTTCAGTTTCTGGTACTCAGTGAGAAATTGCAAGCAGACAGTCAAGGAAACAACAAACGACCAAAAACCAAGGAGAAAGCTGACTAGAAAAAGACCCACAGAACACCCAAATAAAAGGATAATGAACAGATTGTAAAACAACTGAAATGAATAACAATTGGAGAATTTTAGCAGAGAACTGAAAGCTATAAGAAAGAACCAAACAAATAACAGAAATGAAAAATGCAAAAATTAATTGAAGAAGTTGAAGGGTGGGCTTGATAGCAGGTTAGACACAGAAAAACCATTAGTAGATTAGAAGAAAGATCATAAGAAAATACCGTGTTAAACACAGAAAGACAAAAGGATGGCAAATTAAAAACAGTAAAGAATATAAAAGATATTATATGGCACAAAGTATAATATCTAATATACATATAATAGGAATCTTAGAAGAACAGAAAATGAGAATATGGCAGAAGAGAAAATAGTATATGGCTGAGAATTGTCTAATACCAACAAAGGACCCCAAGCCACAGATTCAAGAAGTACTGTAAAGCCAAGGCATGATAAAAACAAAGAAAACCAGTATATTATATCTGATGAAAACCAAAACCAGAAAATCTCAAAAGCATCCAGGGAGTAGGAGTGGGGGTGGGGGATACAGGGTGAAAAATTACTTCAAAAGACCAACTGAAAAAAACTGAATCTGATAAAAATCTCTGGATCAGAGCACGCTTTTTCTTTAAAGAAACAGAGCATAAATATTTTACAGTCTCTGTCACAACTACTCAACACTGTCACTGCAGCATATAAGCAGCCATTGACATATGTAAATGAGTAAGTGTGGCTGTGTTCCAATAAATATTTATAAAAACAGGGGAAGCCCAGGTTTGACCCACAAACTGTAGTTTGCTAACCCTTATTCTAGATCTAAATTCCAACCTACAGAAAATACAGGGAACAGAAAGCATATTAAATGATATTACAGAGATTAGATTATCTGATTTAGGACTCAAACTGCCTTCTACCACAAATAAATCACAAAGGTAAACAAAGAAAAGGTGTGGGAGAACTTAAAAGAGCCTTAAGGTATTATCAACCAACTGCAATATGTGGACTTAATAGCAGAATGGAAATAACATAAGAAAGGTCAGTGAACTTGAAGATATATCAATAGAAATTATCAAATCGGATCAACAGAGGAAAAAAATAGAAAAATAATGAACAGAGCTTCAGGGACCTATAGGATAATACAAAAGGGTCTAACACTGATGTCTGCAGACTCACAAAAGGAAAAAAGAGTGTG